CATAATCTCACGTAAAAACGGAGGAAATTCCCTAGCCGCAACACGGTCAGCACTAGCTTCTTCACCACCAATGTTAATGTTGGTGATCTTGTTCCTCTTCTTAAACCTCTGTAACCTCCCAGAGGAAGCATTAAAGGGTTTGGGCTCTCTAATTCCCATCTTACGTGACACTGCAGCATACAGTTCTTGTGCGTACTCCTTAACTGAGCGCGTGTCCACCGCCATGTTCCATCGCGCCTGACGAACCAAGTAGCTCACAAGTAATTTCTCCATCTTGAGAAGCACCTGGTTGTGGCAATACTTGATCATAGAAGCTCCTGTAGACTTTGTGATGTTCATGTGCTCCTTTATCTTGGCTGCATCCTTCTTAATTGTCCTGATCGTAGACTCGCTAACACCATGATGGCGCGCGAGATCAACCTGTCTTGTTCCTTTCTCCAACTCTTGGATGATCTTGTATTTAATTTCGTAGCTTAAGGAACGTCGTATCTTCTTTGGCTTAGGGCGGCTGGGTCCAGGGAATGCAAGGTTTCTTTGTGGTGGTGGTGGTGGTCCGGTGGAAGCCATTCTTATGGAACAATAGATACCGATATACACGGTGTAGCCAGGAGGGGTGTAACTGACGCGGGTAGGTCAAGGGGCTTGAACGCTCCCGCGGCGGGGCACGTCATAATACATTAAACCAATCACAGCTAGCAGGGGAGGGAGGTAAGGATGCTTGGCCCAATCACAGTCTGATACGTCACATGACGTCACCGATAACGCAACAAAGACATACACTGCGCAACCTACTCGCACCGCTTACCCAACATGGCGGGATGGTGGGAGTTTTGGATCCAAAAATGGCTTGGCGCGAGAGGACCGCCAACCGCTCTCCGCGTAAAAGGGTACACACACCGCGTAAAGTGAGCATTCCGTGTTCGGCAGGGTACCGCGTAAACGTGGAAACGCGTAAAGTGAAACCGCGTAAAGCAGGGGTTTACTATACTACATACAAAGTACTGTACTGTGTACCGATAATAGAATTAACAAAACGTTAAATATAAACTGAATACAGTACTGTACAGTATACTGTATAATAATGAATAACAAACAATAGAATACTATATTTTAACCTACTTTGCGGTGTGTATGTCGTATTCCCAGCAGCTTTGTTTACATATCAAACAGCTGATGTAGAGGCAGACGATGATGACATGCCATATTCTTTACAGAGTGCATTGGTTCTAATACCTTCTTCATGCTTCATAATAATTTCTGCATTGTATATTATCAATATGTTAACTAAATTTCAGAATGACCAATAATTTTAATGTAAAAATGCAAAAATATTCAAGAGACCAACAAACTGGATGTTCACTCCACTGTAAACAAAGTTAAACTGAGAAGCGTTGGTGGGTGATTCGATCGGCTGATTGGCACACAAAAACTGTTCCCTGTACTGTACAGTGGGGTATGCTTTAACGAATCTAATTGGTTCCAGAACCTCGTTCGTTATAGCATTCTTTCGTTATAGTATTAATCCGTTCCAGGCCCCCAAATACAGTCACTTAACACTGAAAAAATTCTGTGGAAAATGTAAAAAATACGGTACTTTATCTTACCTTCGTGTTGTTTAGCATGCAGGGGAGGAGGGGGGAGGAGAAAATTATGGAGAAGAGGTGGAAGGAGAGGAGTCATCCTTCCTAGCCCTCTTTGGTGACTGTCTCATAGGCACTTTGTCTGTAGGCTCTTTTGTTACCTTTGTAAAGAAAGAATCCAGGGTTTGCTGCTTCAACCTTGATTTCTGGACCTTCCAAAAGTAGTTCATAACATTGTCATTAAACACTGTGATGGCCTTTTGCACAGAACCAACATCAGGATGATAATCCTGAGCAAGTTTGGACAGTTTGCTCCAGCAAAAGAACGCATCCTTGAGATCTTTGGCTGGAATGATGCGGCTTTCCTCCTTGTCCTCCTCCTCCCCTGACTCCTCAGAAGTTAAGCTCCGCTTCAGTGTCTCATTTTCCTCTTTGTGAAGCTCAAGCAGCTCCTCAGTGGACAGTTCCTTACTGTGCTCTTCCACCAACTCCTCAACATCATCATCATCCACTTCCAGGCCCATGGAATTGCCCAGAGACACAATTTCATGAACAACAGCCTCTTCTTCTAACTCTTCGAAGCCTTCAAAGTCTCTTTGAAGGACACATTCAGGCCACAATGGCCTCCAAGCAGCACAAAGACACCTCACAGTAACCTCTTTCCAGGCTGAGGTAATTAAAAAAAACAGCGTCTGCTATATTGAAGTGACTCTTCCAAAATTCCTTCAAGCTAACATCACTGGAAGAAGTGGACGCAAAACATTTTCTAAACAGTGCCTTTGTGTACAGCTTCTTAAAGTTAGAAATTACCTGTTGATCCATGGGCTGGATGAGAGGTGTTGTGTTGGGTGGCAAGAAGTGCACAGAGATGAAGTTGAACTCCTCTGGCAATTCAACCATCAAATTTGGAGGGTGGGCTGGTGCATTGTCCATCACCAACAAAGCTTTCAGTGGAAGATTATTATCCCTGAGGTATTCCTGAACACTGGGTCCAAACACCTCAATCACCCACTCAGAGAATAAATTCCTGGTCACCCAAGCCTTTGGGTTTGACCGCCACATAACACCAAGGCGGGTCTTCCTAATTGTTTTTAAAGCTCTGGGGTTTTCTGCGTGGTACACAAGGAGTGGCTTTATTTTGCAGTCACCAGAAGCATTAGCACAAGGAAGGAGGGTAAGCCTGTCTTTCATTGGCTTATGGCCAGGGACAGAAGTTTCCTCCCTGGTAATGTATGTACGGCGAGGCATTTTTTTCCAAAAAAGTCCAGTTTCATCACAGTTGAATACTTGCTGAGAAACAAAGCCTCCCTCTTTAATAATATTCAAAAAAATGTCATGGTGTTCCTTAGCTGCTTCCTTATCGGCACTAGCAGCATCACCATGTCTCACAACACTATGTATTTTATTTCTCCTTCTGAAACCAGTAAACCACCCCTTGGTACCCCTAAAAACTGGCACATCACTATCACTTGCACTGGGAGTCTTGGCTTTAAGGTCCTCAAACAATTGTCTGGCCTTCTCGCAAATTATAGCTTCACTAATGCTATCACCTGCCATTTCTTTCTCCTTTATCCACACTAAGAGTAAATTTTCCATCTCCTCAATCACATTACACCTTGCTTTGCTAAGTCTAGAGATTCCCTTAGCCACTTGCACTGTTTTCAACTTCTCTTTATTCTTTAAAATCGTACATATAGTCGATTTAGCCATCCCATACTCATCACTAAGTTTCGCAATGCTTGTTCCATCCTCACGTTTCTTTATGATTTCTTTCTTAGTTTCAAGAGTTATGAGCTTTCTCACTTGCTTTGGACGATTCATTGTCACAATTGTACACTTGTATAACAAAATATTTATACAAATAACTCTATTTCCACATCAAAAGACGAAATTTCAACAATAACAGTGGTGCACTGGCTACACAATGAGACAAAGATGGCGCCTGACGCTCTTGTTGTGGGTCGCGGTACAACAATATTCATGCACCAGGCGAAATAGTCCCGTATTCATCCGCGTTCGTTGTAGGAGTTGCGTTCGTTATAGCATTCTCAATTTTATAGGTAAAACCGTTCGTTATAGGAATATTCGTGTTCGTTATAGGAATATTCGTAGTAGGATCCGTTCGTTATAGCAGACCCCACTGTATATACATGTATTATCAATTTGTTAATTAAATTAGAATGACCAATATTTTTAATATAAAAAATGCAAAAATATTCAAGAGCACAACTTTCTTGATATTTACTCCACTGGAAACGAATGTAAACATAGAACCGATTACTGTATTGGCGGACTAGCCGATCAGCTGATGTGCACAACAAAGCGTGTTTCTTGTAAAGCTTTCGTTTATCAAAATTTTGTTCGTTAATGGAATTGAATATCCTTATGGGAGCTAATTCTTTAACCGAAATTTCGTTAATTTGACCGTTTGGTAATCGAGGAACCACTGTATTTAGATACCCCCTGAAAATGGTAAATGGTGAATCATGGTATATTTTCAACCAAAATTTTAGTGCTGTACATTATTACTTTTTAAAAACTTGTAACGTGTACTGCAGATGTAGCAGTTAGCCTGAAGAAATTTGATTCTTTTTATATTTTAACTGTTATGTTTTACTTCACTCTAACCATACAAGAATCAAATAGGAATAAAATATAAGACCTAGAAAACCTATATTGTCAAATAGATGTGTAGTATTTTGGTATTTGATGCTTTTGTGGAATATGTGTATGTGTATTTTAAGCTTAAGGTAGACCTGATCAGGAGCAGGGATAGGGGAGACTGGGAAAAACTGGAAAAGGGGACTGAGACATAGAATAAGGCTTTATAGTGTTTTGTCTGGGGTCCCACATTCATTTCTTGTAGTTGGGGGCCCTGTGTATACTGCGAGTTTAAATGGATGAAATAATTACATTTTTATGATCTTAAATGTGTAAATTTCTGTGTTTTAATTTATTGAGGTTGATGTAGGCTTGAAATGTCAACAATATAAATGTTTATAATTGACAGGTAGTGCAGTACAGCACTTGCTGTAGATGACTGGCACTGGCACTATTGAGCACTTTACTGTGATTCTGACTTGGTTTTGAAGCACTTAGGATCAGTATCAGGGATTTATTGGTAAATGGTTGAAATACTGTATTGTATTCCTTTATGTGCATTGACCTTATTGAAGATGGCTATTTTTTTGCATTTTCCTATAGAATGTAATTGTATAAAAGAATGTCTTATGGTAAAATCATTAAATGAGATGTAGAACTTTCATATATTTTATGGTACATAATACTGTAGAAGACTTGAAACAGAAAAAAACAATTCTCAAAAAATTTATTGTTCAATCAATACTATATAGACTTCTATTAAAAAAATTATTTTATACAACTACTGTACAGTATACAGTATGCCAATGTCCTTCACAGAGACTTTCGGTTGATTCTTAATCCTCGGAAAGGACTTCTTCACCCTCAGTTTAAAGCTTATGCTGTTGATGGGGCTGGTAATGAGCAAATTATTCATGTTGGTAAGTACTTGTGTTTTTAATTTTTATTGTTGAATGGTATATGATCTTTTTGTACAAAAGTTATGCATCATAAAAGGTATCAAGACATCTGATAGAAACTGCACCACAATAGAATGATACTTCATAGCACAATTTCTATTTTCACTTCTTAATTTGGAAAGAAAAAGGCTTTACACTTCACTGAATATTTCTTGATTCCTGAAAATGATTTCTTATGATTCCAAACAGACCATGAGAATTTCTATGAAGGCCGTGTGTTTGGGGAAAAAGTGTCAGATGTTTCAGCTCACTTAGAAGATGGCATAATGACAGCTACAATACACACTCCAGAAGATACGTACCATGTAGAAGTAATATATTTAATTATCATACCTTTTGTAGATTCCTTTTAGCAATTAAAGTTTTTGAAAAATAAAAGAAAAATTACTTATTTGTACTCAAGTTAATGTTGTGTATAAGGAATATGAATTACAGATTTCTTTTAGTGTATGAGTAATTAAATTTGAAAGTAAAATACAGTAATTCTGTTCTTTTCTGAGTGTAATGGATTTTTTTTGTTGACAGCCATCATGGCGGCATGCACCAGACACCAGTGAGGATTCCATGATAGTTTATCGTGGCTCAGACGTGAAATACAGTTGGGAGGACAAACGGCCGATGTGTGATTATGTCAAAGAAGGAAATGAAACTACAGGTACTGTGTGTGTGTGTGTATATATATACAGTACTACTATACTCCCGGATAATTTGCAGATTTTTATTTCGTGGTCCTCTATTATTCGTGGATGACACCCTGGATGTACCCAGGAATGTCTAAGGGTAGTTTTAAAGTTGCTGGCATTTTTGCGGTCGGGAGGGGGAGCCATTCGTTCTAGACAGTAATTTCCTTTACATGTATTGTATATGTGTGTGTGTGTGTAGACACACACACACACACAAAGCACATACAAATAAATAATAATGGGAAAATCCACTCACAAATAATCAGAAAAAAATTATTAAAAATGTTGAGTCTACCCTCAAGTCCACTCTGTGCTATGTTATTAACAAAGCACGGGGTGCACTTGAGGGTAGACTCAACATTTTTAATAATTTTTTTGTGATTATTTGTGAGAGGATTTTCCCATTATTATTTATTTGTATTGTATATGTGTGTGTGTCTCTACAGATAACAGAAATAGTTGTCCTTAGAGCAAACACATAAAGGGGATATACATTTCTTTGTACACAAGTAAAAATGTACCGCTCCCCTGGCCAGCAAATGTCATTCGTGGATTTGGCGATTCCCGGCCATTTTGAGAACCTAACCCTTGCAAATTTGAAGGGCATGCTGTATATACAGGCTCACCACCGATTTTCCGGGAACTGATGGTCCGGCACCTCCTTTAGTCTGGACAATATTACAAGAGGGCACTTAACTTCCCCACTCCCTCCCTCCCAGCCAGGGTGAAGGTAGTTTTAGGCTTAAAGGTTTTATCTTATTAGATGTCACAGACTAAACTTTGCAGAATATATCTTTCATTGCTGGAGTTCTTGCACGATAGCAAATAATTTGAATACACCCAATACAGGTTGAACCTCCCTAATCCGGTACTCTGTTGTCAGGCACCTCCCGTCGTCCGGCAAAATTTTAGTGTGCCGGACGGCCGCTAGCACCCGCCGGCGCTAGTATTCATGGTTCGGCATACCCTTTGCTTACATCTGGTCCTTGTGGAGTTTGGTGCGCTCCTCAGTATTTCAAGTGTTTCTGTAATATTTCACTTGTTATTTACCCTTAATATGCCTCCGAAGCATACTTATTTTATTATTTCATTTACTGTACAGATATTTTTTTCTTCTTTACAGGTGAACATCACCAATTTATGTACTGGTACAGGTACCATAACTATTTTGTCATTTTAAGTGCAGAATGAGAATTCTTGTTTATCTATTTTCGTTTATTACAATTACACTGTACAGTAGAATGTGGATATAACACGAGATATGTTCCAAGAGAGGTCGCTTTAAACCGAATTCCACACTGAATCGAAGTGTTGTTTAAATGGAATAATTTAGTTGGTACTTGAGAGAAACACAAAATACTAAAGAGACTGAGAGTCTACCCAGATGCACCTCAGCCCATCTTCTAGACTAAACAAAACATTGTCTTTTGTAGTATATTGTATTATATTAAAACAAACACTCATAAATCAGCACAGCTAAAATTAAGGGATGCGAAATGGTCTGTGTACTGGCTGGGAAGATGGGGGGGAGGGAGGGAGGTGAGGTGATATGTTTGACAGTTGATGCCAAGGTTTAGTGTTTATTTATTTATCTGTCCTTAAGAGTGACTTTAAGTTTTTGTGATATAACATGTTACTGAACTGACATGGGAGAATATAATTAACATTGCTGGAATTCTTATAAGATAGTGATTAATTTTAATGTAAACATGCTTTCGTTCGCATTAGACACACAAAGAGCAAAAAATTTTATCTCTTGTGCAAAATATACGACATTTATATTCAAATTATTCGCTGTCTTGCAAGGATTCTAGCAATGGAAACTATATTCTCCTAACTTTAGTCTGTGATATGATATAAGATAAAAACTTAAAGCCTACTGTATAACCACCAAACCCTGGCTGGGAGTGGGGGAGGGCGGGAGGAAGGGGAGGTGATAGTGACATGTTTGACAGTTGGCGCTGAAGGTCAAGTGAAGTATTTATTTGTTTATTTATGTTTTTTACTTATAAAATGTCACAGAAGTGACCGGAGAGAATATAATTTACATTGCTGGAATTCTTATAAGATGGTGATTAATTTGAATATGTACATGCTATAGTTTGCACTAGACAAAAATTTTAGTAATCATTAGTACATTATTTTGAGTACATGTACAGTACAGCTTTGCCCTTAGGACAGTCTAGTGCGCCCAGAGAAACAATAGACGCAAAATTTTAAATATGATGCACCAGATTGGCCCATCAATAATACTATGTATTTTACAAAGACCAGCTGTGGCTCGGAAAATTCTATAGTCCGGCACCGGTCAGGTCCAAAGGGTGCAGGATTAGGGAGGTTCAACCTGTAGTAATATGTTAATAAAGAATAGCCCAACCTTGAATGTAAATGGAAGTGTTTACTTCATTCCCTGTAGCAATTGTAATGGAAATTATGTAGGTCAGACTGGGAAAGCATTGCAACTTAGAATAAAACAGCACAAGTATAATGTTAGAGCAGCATCTGAAAGCAGTGCACTTTTCGTTCATATTAGGAACAATAATCATCCCATAGATTGGTAAAACAGTTTAGAAGTGTATAAATCATCATGTGTCACAGAAAGACTTCTGGTTGAAGCAAGTTTGATTAGGGAAATGAATTCTCTAAACCTTAGTGATGGTCTGTACAAACTGATAATATGTTACATAAATTTATTTGTCTGTGGCACAAGGTTAAAAATGTTTTGAAAGCAATTAAGGTACTGGGTAGATGTAAGATGGATGATAGTGGGTCTCATATTTTTTACCTGACTTGACATGACTACTTACTTTGCCAATTTTTATGAGCTCTTCTCATGTTTGCAGTGTTGGTGGTGTGTGGATTAGTGGAGGATCCCATGTTATTGACCTGACCTGATGTTTTGCAAGGTCACCCTGTGTATATAAGCCTCTCTCAGTCCCTGTAAATTCAGTTGCCTCTGAAGATGTCTTGAATAAAGACAAAAACTAAGGTGCTCCATTGTTTCCCTTTTCCTGTGTAGTTTTATCAAGATTTAGTACATTTGCCGGAAGATACGGACAATCTGCTTTTTCGGACAGGTGGTCACCCGTTTTAGTCCGGATCTTTGAGTGTTCACTGTATATCAGACAATTGTTTGTCTTATGTATAACTGAAAACCACTTTTAATTAAGTCTTTTGGCAAATAAGTGTGAGAGGTAGCTGAACACAGAATTTCCTAAAAAACAAATGTTCTCATTCTGCAGAAATTGCTGACAACCTCTAACTGTTTGACCTTGCATTATTGTTCTTTCAACTGGTTTTCCATCTGCTGATCATAATAATCATTGACTCCAAATTTTGTGATTCAATTTATCTGTCACATGCAATTTCTCTTCAAAATAAACATAAAGTGGAGTTTAATTTCTTAAAAGTAATATTTTATTTGGTATTTGCTGTCCTCTGGTTTCGCCTTAATTTTTTTCCTATTACAGTAAGTCCTCGCTTAACGTCTGGGGTTACGTTCCTGAAAATGCGACTTTATATGAAACAATTAAGCGGATCAATTTTCCCCATAAGAAAGAGATAAAATACAGGAGTTACTTTCCTGTGCCTCCCTTTGCCCCATGAAATACATTACAGAAAATCACCGCCATTTCTATAGAAATAGTGCATGCATATATAACCACAGTACTAAGTTTGTATTGGTACTCACCGATGGCCGGAGGTGGTAGAGCGAGTGTGTGGTGGGTAGTGAAGCGGAGGAGGTGGATGGTGGGAGCGGAGGAGTATGGTGGGAGCGGAGGAGGGGGATGGGAGCGGAGGAGGGGGAGAGGAGGAGGGTGTGAGTCATTGAGACTCTGCGGCTGCCTCCTCCTCCTCCTCCTCCTGCTCTGACTAGGGTTCCTCCACCACTGCTTGCTCTTCCTCCATTGATGTTTGCTCCTCCTTCGTTGTTGTTTGCTCCTCCTTGGCTGCCGGCTGTTGTAGGCTGCTTTTGCCATCCCGTGATGAAAAAATGAATCTAGTGTTGACTGCTTGGTGCTACTCTTCTTCTTCTCCTTATACTGTACATCTCAGTGTAACAACCAAGACTGTCATCAATGCTGCATTGAATCTTTTAGCTACGTTCTCTATTGGGTGCGTCATCTATAAGGATTTGCATACCTTGCTGGATCATGTTGAACTCTTCTGCCATCCTCTTGGTAGTTAGCATTCATTGTGCTATTTCTTCTTTGTCATCGTCGTCTTTAATGGGACTGTGTTCTGTTAGCAGTTGCAGATCTTCGTTGGTGAGCTCTTCTGTATGGGATGCCAGGACATCCTCAATATCCTCTGATTCCAGCTCATCAAAGCCTGCCTGTCTAGCCAAGCTGAGGATATCCCAATTCACTGCTGAGACTGAGTCCGTGAATTCCGTAAAACTTTTGAGGCACGCGGGCCACAATTTACGCCACACACCATTCAGGCAACTTTCTGAAAAACTATTTTCATGCCTTGTCAATGTTGTCAATAACCTGAAGAATGTTGAAGCCGCGCCAATATTCTCGGATCATAGGTTTATTATCTCCGTCTGTAGCCTTGAGCAGCTGGGCCATGGTATGGAGTAAATAATATGCATTGAATGCGGCGATGACGCCTTGGTCCATAGGCTGCATCAGGTTACTCGTTGGTTGGAGGCAGAATAACTACACTGTCATGCAATTTGTCGAGATTAGGAGGATGAGCTGGAGCATTGTCAACAATCAGAAGAATTTTGAAGTCAAGGTTCTCCTTGGCACAGTATTCTTTCATTGCAGGGACGGCGTACATTTTTAACCACTGGCTAAATATGGCTCCAGTTAACCTTGCCTTCTTATTTTGTAGATCACTGGAAGGTGATCCTTAGAGTAACCTTTCAGGGCCCTTGGGTTGGCAGAAAGAAATGAACATCGGCTTCAGCTTGAAGACGCCAGCAGAGTTCACACCAAGCAAAAGCGTCAAGCAGTCTTTTTTTTGCTTTAAACCTGGCGCTCTTTTCTCCTGCATGGAGATATACTGTAGGTTCTCTCAGGCATCCTCTTCCAAAAGAGACCAGTCTCATCCACACTGAAGACTTGCTTCGATGAGTAGCCTCCTTCCAGCCTTACGCTGGATAACCATAAGGCTCACAGGGGCATTGCTTTGATTCTGGTCCTCCATCCACATAGCCAGCATCTTTTCCACCTTTTCAATCACAGTGCTTCTAGTACAGGTTGTCTTAGTTGCACTCAGAGATGTACCACTTCCAGCACTAACCCTAATCTTGTCAGCGTTGGTCCGGATAGTATGCACTGTTTGTGGGCTTAGACCAAGCAAAGTGGCTATGTCCACGGCATGTTCCTTTTTTTTCAAATCGAGCTAATACATTCATTTTTCGCTGCCTCTTCACTACACTAGCATCAGTAGCACTTAATGTGTGCTTGGAAGCCATTTAAAATGGTTAGAGTACAGTTTTAGAGCAAAAGCACTGCAGCACACACGAATGAAGTGAAGTCTTAACAAAGACTGGCTTGGCGTCTCTTGGTGATGCTGTGCTATTCAAGTGAGTAGGCAGCACTGGTTTAGGAGGCTGATGCGCCGTAAAAGTAGCTCAGAGACGAAAATGACTTTGTACTGAATCACCGGAATGTTAAACTAATTTTTGGTCTCTAAAGTTTAGTACGTAGTGGCGCAAACAACGTTAAGGGACTATTATTGCCAGACTTACTGTACTGTATATTTATTATGAGCTGTACAATATCTTTGAAAAAAAATTGTTTGTAAGTAAATATGAGAATAAGGATAAGTTTTAAAAGTGCCAATCATTAAAGTATATCATGGGCTATCTTTAGTGTTCAAATAATATATCGAATGATATATACAATGGTATTCACGTATTATAAGTTATTTTATCACTAGTAGGATTTAGAAACATTTTCATTCATATCAAGGTGAAGTCACTGTCCCTGAACTATGAACCTTGATTTGTACTTTTACTCTTATGTCTATAGAATAACTGAATCTAAATTTCACTGTAACTTGCAGAAAAGGATGATGAAGATGAATGGGTGGAAGGATATGAGCCACCTGATGGTGTCTTACTAGATGCTTCTGTAGAGAACTTGATCAGTGGACCTAGACGGAGAGTGAAACGACAACAGGCGGAAGCATACAACTTCAATGGCGAGAAAACCCGTTGCCCTTTGCTTTTAGTGGCAGACTATAGATTTTTCAAGGAGATGGGCGGCTCAAATTATAAGACGACTGTGAATTACCTGGTTGGTATTTTATTAATGACTCTCTCTCTCTCTCTCTCCCATGACTGAGCATCTGTCTGTAGCACGTTTTTTTCTCAGCTGAGAAAAGATGCCCTACTACTCCTCAAGAGTTAGAGCTGATTGACTGTTGCAAATCTGAGTTTTTTCATAATCACTGGGATGACCATGTCTGACGAGAAAAATATTTAGCTTTTGGAGGATGCATTTAATATACAATACACTTATTTTTACCCACAATAAGGCATACTAAGACCAATTACGTATCAGTAATACTACATTATGTGAAAACAATATTTTAAAAGATCAGAATCACGTTGAAATATTACACTACGGTCAGCAGAGGCGGGAATTAGGACTGCGAACAACTAAATATTTTTCCCTCCTCTGCTGATGGTCGTGTAATGGGGGGCAAGAAGAGGACTGCTGCAGTTGCCTCCATTCTTTTATTCTCATGCCTAGAACTGTAAACTCAATAATGCCGTACAGTACAATGATCGATTTTAACAAAATTGCTGGGGACTTGTCACAGCAAGATACATAAGAACAATAAAATAATTAAAGGTAGAGAGGAAGATATACAGTATTTATAAAATTGATAAAATTTTTGGTTGCTTCAGCCAGTTCTATGAATACCAATCTGGACTCACTCACTGAAAGATCTTTTAACAAGGCTTTGCTGGTGTATCTTTAACCAGTATTTTGTCAGTCTTGTTTTGCTGGAGGATAAGTTGTTCCTTAAAATTTCTGTACTGTACCTATTTAAACTTCATATCCACAGATCAGCCTTATTGATCGGGTTGACAAGATCTATGAGAACACTGTGTGGCGAGATGCTACCGATAACGGAGGTTTTTCAGGAATGGGATTTGTGATCAAGAAGATTCTTGTGCACCAGGAATGGACACCTATAGCCTCCAACCAGGTGCACTACAATATGGAGAGGAACTCTTGGGATGTACGTAACCTTCTCGAGGTAAGATGTTTGTTGCTTGTGTTAGTGTTTGCAGAATTTTTACACGAGTTAAAAATCTCTTCATAGTACTGAATCAAACCATTTTTTGGTTTTATATCATAATACTGTATATATTAATACACATTGCATATTAGCTTACGGCACTACCAAACTAGAACCCTACTTCTTGGGTATTTGAGTTATATGCTGTTATATGTGGCTTACTTATTGTCACATCTCAGTTTGGGTGACTTAACCGATAGTCATGTCATATCATAACTGAGGTGATTTGAGTCACAGTTTATATATATATATATATATATATATATATATATATATATATATATATATATATATATATATATATATATATATATATATATATATATATATATATATATATATATATATATATATATATATATATATATATATATATATATATATATATATATATATATATATATATATATATATATATATATATATATATAATAATAATATAGTGAACCTCACTTACGCGTCAATTGAACCCCACGGAGGCTCCGCGTAGTAGAAACGCTAAAGTGAACAAACATAACATATGGGATGAAATAGAGACCATTGACCTCAAACTCCACTTTTTCCGACACAATATCTATGTTCTAGTAAAATAACATCTTAATTTTATGGTGTAACATGCACACAATTAATACTAAGAAATAGAGAAATACAGTTGCCAAGTTAATGTCCATTCAAATAATGGACTCAACTCCTCCCCCCTTCTCATACTACACTCGCTGGCTCTTCCCTCTGAGAAATTTTTGGGAAAACCACTAGATTTTAAGGTACAGGGTATAGTAATAAATAATACCTCAAACTAAAGTTAGGATAATATAATTAACATTGCTGGATTCCTTGTAAGACTCAGGAATATTTTGAATAATATAAATGTCATATATTTTGCACAAAAGATAACATATTTACTCAGAGTAAGCAAAATACTTACATTAGATCTAAAATTTGTATGTCTATTGCAAAATCTATGATGTTTATATTCAAAAATGATCATCAAATTGTAAGAATTCCAGCAATGTAATTATTCTGGCCTGGTAATTTGTATGAATTTTATGAGCTAAAACAAATATCTTCAGTTAATAAAAAAAAATATTCTAATGACATCATTAAATCAAAGCAACCTACCTTGTCCTCTCTTCCAACCACGCCAGATGGTCGGTTGGTCCCTCCCTACCAGATAAATGTTTGGGAGAAACCAGAATATTTACCTTTTTAGTAATAAATAATACCTCAGACTAAAGTTAGATAATATAATTATTGCTGGATTCCTTGCAAGACCAGGAATATTTTGAATATACACTCATATATTTTGTACAAAAGATAACATATTTTGCTTTGAGTAAACAAAAATACTTGCATTAGATCTAAAATTTGTAATGTGTAATGCAAAATCTATGATGCTTATATTCCAAAATGAGTCATCAGATTGTAAGAAATTCCAGCAATGTAAATTATATTCTGGCGGATAATTTGTATGAATTTTGAGCTTAATAAAAAATTATATTTCACCCGTATATGAGTAGATGCACCGCCAGAAGTGGAATTCGTTCAGCAGGGTACCGCCAGAAATGTAGAAACGCTGAAGTGAAAACCGCTTAAAGCGAGGGTTCACTGTACAGGACCCTCATTTAACTAACACCTCAGTTAACGTAATTTCGATAAACTAACTGCCTCCATAAGGATCTTCAATTGGTTAACCAAAAAAATTCGTTAACGGTGTTCTACGAACCGACCTCAACATGTTTTCGCTTGCACTGACTGGGCAACCAGCTTTAGTATCAGTCCGCCAATACATTAATCGGTTCTAGGGCTTAAATTCCTTACTATTTTAGTAAATATCAAGAAGTTTATACTATTCAATAATTTTAAAAGTTTAATATTCAATTTTTAGTCATTTTAACAATTATTGAACATAATTGAAGGTAAAGTGACTAGTTTAATGCGCGCATTCAGCTCTCTTAACACAGCAAAGGAGTTAGTCTCTCTCTGTTTTCACTGGAGGTAACTTGCTTGAGACTCTTCAACTAAACGCTTTTTTTCTGTGTTTCGCAAATTATTGGTCATTTTGAAATATATTTTACATATTGACAATATATATAATGCAGTGCAGTGTTGATTTAAAGAAAATAATCTTGAATTACACCAGAGAGCTAAAATTTTATGGGTGAAATGGTGCCAGGTGACTTCTCTTCCACCCCAATGCCTTCTTCTTCCTTCTCCTCCACCCCCATTCTAAATCCCATCATCATCATCCAGGAGCCTTCTACATACACACCTCAAAGTAAGTGAACTTTTCTACCATTTTTGTTGAATTTAGGAAATTTTCGGTGAGTTGAACCAATTACCCAAAAACCCATTGAAACAATGGTTTCGGTTAACGAACTTTTCGGTTAACGAATGACCTTCTGGAACGGATTGAGTTCGTTAACGAGGGGTCACTGTATAACAGTTGTACCGCTTAACGCGGTCAATTGAACCCACAGGGTACCTCGTTAAGGAAACCGCGTTAAGTGAACAACAGAACATATGGATTAATTCCAATAGAGACTGGCCTGACCCCCAAACTCCACTTTTGACGACACACAACTATGTTCTAGTAAAATAACATCTTAATTTTATGATGGTACATGCACACAATTAATACTTAAGAGAAATAGAGAAATACACGCCAAGTTAATGTCCATTCAAATAATAGACTCTAATTCTCCCTCTTCTCACACTACACTGCTGGCTCTTCCCTCTGAGAAATTTTGGGGAAAACCACTAGATTTTAATAAATAATACCTCAAACTAAAGTTAGATAATATAATTGACATTGCTGGATTCCTTGTAAGATAGAATATTTTGAATATAAATGTCATATATTTTGCACAAAAGATAACATATTTACTCAGAGTAAACATTATATCTAAAATTTGTATGTCTAATGCAAAATCCATGATGTTTATATTCAAAATGATCATCATATTGTATGAATTCCAGCAATAAAATTATATTCTGGCGGGTAATTTGTATGAATTTTATGAGCTAAATAAAAAATATTACACTTCACCGCAGATATGAGTAGATGAACCGCTAAGTGAAAGTTCGTTCTGGCAGGCACCGTATATGAGAAACGTGTTATGAAAAACCGCTGCTAAGCGGGTACAACTGTGTGTGTGTGTGATATATATCAACGACCACCAGCCAGGAATCGAACCTCGACCTACTGTGGGACTAGGAACGCTCGCCAGGGCCACAAGGACACTAAAAGAAGTTCTAGACTCTGTTATATTTACACAAAGCCTGTTCATCGAGCTGATGGCACCGGAACCTCATTGGGAAACTGCCCGCGCTCTTATGTGGTGTCAGTAGCATTTACCGAATCCAGCTGGTATGAAACGTGGAGGTATATATATATTCTTCATTTTTAGTCCATATAACACGCGACTTTGAACATATAATCAACGACCTCACCAGCAAGGAATCGAACCTCGACCTACTGGGTGACTAGGAACGCTTACCGCTAGGCCACTGCTTATATTACAATGTTATATTACAATGGCATTCTATTCATACTGTGCTGATATAATGCATTCACGGAAATGTAATATTTTTGCTGAAATGACGACGATACAGTGGAAAGTGGATAAAATCGCGTGACGAAACAATGACTTCGCCGTGGAAAATATGTTACCGTAATCGCCGATTGGTTTTCAGTTAAAAACTGTTGTATTACAATAATATTATATCCTAATTGACTTGAATAAATACTACGATACCATATTTCTGAATATTTTCATTAAAATCCATCCAAATCATTTCTTGTCATTGTCTGCAGCACCAAACAGCTTTCCAGTCCTCTCCTTGAACAGGCTAGAGGGTATGCGTTAATCGCTTTTCAGTTAAAAACTGTTACATCACACGATATTTTACCTAAACTGCGCCTGAATGAATATATTCATGGATATAAATAGTAGTTTTGCTGAAACGTGATGTATTTCAATGTAAAATAGGATAAAATACATTACGAAAACAAAAGATTTTACCTAACCTTCCGATGTTCAAGAGAAGTTACTCGTTTAATAGTTTTTGGTTAAAATACTGTTATATTACAATGGTATTCTATTCATATTGTGCTTATATAATGCATTCACGGAATGTAATATTTTGCTGAAATGGCTATGTATTACAGTGGAAAGTGATAAAATTGTGACGAAACAATGACTTTGAAATATAATGCAATATTAACCCTAAATCGGTTAATTGGACAATCGCTAAAACGACACCCTTCCCCTTATTAGTCGGAATTAACGAGGGTCAACTGTATATATATATATAAATGATTTTATTTGTAAATGTACAGTATATCATATAACATTTCCAGATTTATGGAAGGGTTCCAGTCCATAAAAACCTTTTGTAAATGGAATTCTCATAAATCAGATAACAGTTTCCCATAGATTCCCATTATAAAAACTTAGATACAGTGCATTCCTAAAAGAAAAAAATAATCCCAACATCTTAAATGTCACAAAACATGTCTCGTGGACACATAATATTATCCAAATAAACATAATAAGTGAAATACTGTACATGCAGTATTGTGCAGTATAGGTAGAACAGTAATAATTTCACACCTGTACTTATGTGAAAACGGATGAGATTTGAAACAAAGTGAACAATATGAGATGCTAAGCCAGCATATGTAAGCATATTACAGTACTGTAGTTCTGTACTGTACAGTAATACAGGTATCTGCTTATCTCGATTGGGTTGTGTTCTTGAAAAACAGATTGCTAAGTAATTTGATCACTATGAACAAAGAATAATGAGGAATATAATCTGTGGAGATGGCACATAGTTGTGCAGCAGAGTCACCGACTGACCGACTTGCCACCCAGTAGCATTTAGAGTGGGTGAGGCTGAGCTGTGAGCTATGTTATTGTTTAATTTTTAATATTGGCTATACAGTTGTAACTTCA